GGTACATTTAGAAATACCTGTATATTTACTACCTTTTTTTTTTTCACTCTTTATATTTTCTAATTCCTTTTGTCTGAACACCCTTTGGAATTTTCTTTGAGTAGATCTACAGACTCTTATGTATCTAAAAAATGTTTTATTTTACCTTCATTCTTAAATGATATTATTCGGTTATAGAATTCTAGCTTGGTATAATTACTTTCAATTCTATGAAGATAATATTCTGTTGTCCTTTGGCTTTGGTTGTTGTGAAGAAGCCAGCTATTAATCAGTATGTTGCTCTTTTGAAGGTAATGTGTTTCTTTTTTATCTTTCTCCAGTTTTGATTTCATTTGTCAAAGTATGATTTCCTCATTCTCTCATGGGCTTCTTGAATCTGTGGAATAATATCTTTGATCAGTTATAGGGGATTCTAAGCTATTATCTCTTTAGATATAGCTTCTCCTTTCTTCATGGGACTCTGGATGTGTATTGAATCTTCTCCCTCTGCCTTGTAGCCTTATTCTTCATTTTCTACATTTTTGACCCTCTTTGGTGCTTTCTTGATTGTTTTTATGATTTGTATTTTAGCCTATTCTTATGCTATATCAGTATTTCATTAAACCTATCCTTCAAGACCTTGATTTTAGTTATTTTGACTTCTTAGTACTCGTCTTTCTGACTGGTTCTTTTTAAAATCTGACATTTTTTTTCTTTAGTGTTTCCAGTTGTCTGTCAATTTTCACGCTTGGCTTTTATTTCTTGGACACTAAAAAACTATTGAACATAGTTGTTCTACACTCTTGTGTTTGATAATTCCAATATCTAAAATCTTTAGGATCTATTTCTATTTCTTTTTTTCTGCTAAATTGTGTTCATGGTGCCCTGTTTCTTTGTATGCCAGTTTTGTGTGCTTGACCATGTATTTGAAAAATTATGGGAGTGATTTGACAAAAGCTTTCCCTTCCTTTTCCCATATATGGACTAGAATTTATCATAAAAAGTAAATGAAAGCTCATCGTATATATGAGCCAGGGGTGCTTCTATTGTAATTTTGTTTATACTGTTAAAGTTATACATGAATATATGTTCCCAAAATTTAGAGAGTTTATCTTTTCTTGTTTATCTACTTCATGCATAATTCATTAAAAGACTATAAAGCAATATTTTATTTATTTACTTTTTAAAGATTTATTTATTTGAGAGAGAGAGAGAGAGCTTGTGCATGCACGTGGTGGGGAGGGGCAGAGGGAGAGAATCCCCGGCAGACTCCTTGCTGAGTGTGTAGCCCAACGCGGGGCTCAGTCTCACAACCTTGAGATCATGACCTGAGCCAAAACCAAGAGTTGGATGCTCAACTGACTGTGTTTAACCAGGTGCCCCTAAAAAGCAATATTTTAAAATAACTTTTTTCAGGTGAAATACTTCATCAGTCCCTTGTGAAATATCACAGGTGATTTAATGTTATCTAATTTTGTAATCCTTAACAAGTAGAATGATTGGGATAGTTATTCTTAGCTTTATGAGCTCAATTCTTTTTAGTAATTTAATTAATTTATTCAACTATTGTATTGGGGGAAAATTTTCAGTTATATATTGATTAAGATGTAAGGATTTATCTGTAAAGGGAATGTAGGTAGATAAATGGTATCTTGGCCAGTTTTACTTCCAGGTAGTCAGTACAATAAGATCTATTAACTTCCTTATGGAATAATTGCCGAAAGCCTCCCAAAGGAAGCAGCTGAGGAACACCAGAAATGTGAATCCATCAAGGTGATGATCCAAAAGTAAAAGGTTCAAATTCTAGTGGTATAATATCATAGTGTTTTTGATGTATTATATCAAATCTAGGACTTAGGATGGTTGTTTATTTAGTGGCTCTTAACTCTGACTTCATGCTGTTTATCTTCTGGAGAGCTTTTAGAAACGTATATTATTGGGGCAGCTGGGTGGCTCAGTCATTAAGCATCTGCCTTCTGCTCAGGTCATGATCCCAGGGTCCTGGGATCGAGCCCCGCATCGGGCTCCCTGCTCAGCGGGAAGCCTGCTTTTCTCTCTCCCACTCCCTCTGCTTGTGTTCCCTCTCTCGCTGTGTCTCTCTCTGTCAAAAAAATAAATAAAATATTTTTAAAAATGTATATTATTGCCTAGGTTAACCCCTAGGTGATTCCAATATGCAGCAAGGTTTAAGAACCACTCCTTTGGTATACCATTTTGAGGAGGAGTTTAGTGAACTAGTATTGCAATAATTTTTCAGCTGTATGTTCTTTCGAGATATCACAGTGGTTGCTTCCTGAAGGAGGCAGACTGGGCAATGTTAACCCCTTCTTCAAGCATAGCAGTTTTTCTGTTTTATATGCTAGGATTCCATTTAACATTTCATTTGTTAAAAGAGTTTCCTTGGTTAAAAAATTCTGATTTCCCTTGGCTCAAAGGTAAAATGGTTCTTAGATTCTACTTAGATTTTCAGTAATATGGCAGACTAGATAACTTGAAAACACTTTGATTCAAAACACCTTTTTAAATAACAGGTTAGTTTGCCAGAAACTAAAGGGAATGCCGCAGGGCAAAAACAAAGAAATCTGAAAGCTATTGGTGTCTGTTTGAACGGACTTTGGAGGTGCCCTGAAAGAATTTGCCTGTGTAGGTAATATATTAATTAGCCTATATTGCTAATCAAACCACCCTGAAACTTAGTGGCTTAAACAGGTTTTTTTTTTTTTTTATTTTGCTGATAGTTCTTTGATTCGGTAATTTGGGCTAGGCTTAGCTGGGCAGTTCTCATCTTAGCTGGACTCAGTTCATCAGCTGATTATCTGGCTAGGGGCTGGGTCGTTTGTCATGGTCATAGCTGGGACAGCTTGTTTCTGCTCCAGGTTATATGTCATCCTTTACACGCTAATTTTGGATTGGTCTCAAGCTAGTAGAACAGAGTTCTAAAGAGAGAGAGGGAAAGAATGCAAAGCCACTTGTAAGGCATAATGTCAGATCAGATACACTGTTATTTCTGCTGCATTCTGTATTCAAAGCAAGCCACAGGTTAGAGCCCAGGTTTAAGACATGGAGAAATAGATTCCCCATCCTTTTTTTTTTTTTTTAAGATTTTATTTATTTATTTGACAGAGCACAGGCGGGGTGGGGGGGAGGGCGGTGGGAAGCAGCAGGCAGAGGGAGAGGGAGAAGCAGGGTCCCCGCTCAGGGGGCTCCATCCCAGGACCCTGGGATCATGACCTGAGCTGAAAGCAGACACTTAGCCGACTGAGCCACCCAGGTGCCCCAGTAGATTCCCCATCTTGATGGGAACAGCTGCAGAAGTCCTATTGTAAGCATAATGGGTATAGAGAGAGGAATAATTTTGGCTCTTTTGATAAACAGTATACCATAGAGGGCAAAGGAGTTTAGGAGAGGAGATGAGACCTGAGAACTGATAGAAGCATTAGTGAGGCCTGAGAAACCATCTCCTCTGAATAAAACCACATCATGGAAAGGGTTCACCATGAAATATTCCCTTGCTAGCATAAGGAGACTTTTCTGTCCTTGGTCTAGTTTTGAGTTTGAATCTCCTCTGAGAATCTGTAACCACAGGACTACTGTAAGGTGGGTTTGGGGCTTGTCAAAGTCACCCTGGGTTGGTGTGTATGTATTAAATTTCACAATGTAAAATGCGTTTTAAATGAAAAACAGGGTGGCAGATTTGGGGTAAAAAAAAAACTTCTAGAAATGGGATAAAAATTTCATCATTAAAATTTAAAATAAAGTGGGTAATTAAAACAGCAGGTTAGACACACTGCTAAAAAGAAGAGTATGATTTGAAAAACAGATCGAGAGAAATTACCCACAAAGGGGCACAGATATAAAAGAGAGATTAAAAGACAGGTAGGATATATTGAGTAGGTAGGATATATTGGGAAGTTGCAACATTTGTATAATACTGTCAAGGAGAAAATAATTGAATAAATGTGAGAGAGACAGTATTTATAGAAATAACACTTAAGAATTTGCCGGACTTGATTGAAGCCATAAAACCTGAGATTGAGGAACACAAGGCCTGAGCTGGATAATCATCTTCAACCCAAACATATAAGGTTCTTAAACATACAGTGGTGAAACATCAGAGGGAGTTGCATAGGTTCACTGATTAGTGGGTTTTTTCAGCTTCAGTTCTGCAGTTTCTTAGATTTGCTTCCACTCTGCTACCTCCAAAGGAGTCTGGGTGCATAGATATAAGGATCAGTTTCTTTAGAAGAAAGGATACATTGTTTCATTTTATATATTTATGCATTGTTTTATTATACACACATACACACACACACCCCCCTCAATCTTCTGATTGGTCCTGGATTACTTGCCCAGTTCTTACTGTAAAACTTTTGATTGGTGTCCAAAGGTGGGTTGTCATAGATCCTTTAGGCTAGAATGTTACAGGGAAGGGAAGGGAACTTGGACAGTATAGTTAGATGCTACCTCTTGTGCTGAATCATCTCTTATAAGGGATTCCACTATAGGTCTGGGCCTTTCTAAATTTGGACATTTGTGGAAATTTTCTGGGTAGAGAATTCATTCAGTGTAGAGTAAGACTTTTTTTTTAACCTTTAAATTTTTATTGTTATGTTAATCACCATACATTACATCATTAGTTTTTGATGCAGTGTTCCATGATTCATTGTTTGTGTATAACACCCAGTGCTCCATGCAGAACGTGCCCTCTTTAATACCCATCACCAGTCTAACCCATCCCCCCACCCACCTCCCCTCTAGAACCCTCAGTTTGTTTTTCAGAGTCCATCGTCTCTCCATGGTTCATCTCCCCCTTTGACTTCCTCCCCTTCATTCTTCCCCTCCTGCTATCTTCTTTTAGAGTAAGACTTTTAATAACTAATTTGTACAGAACATTTTAGAACTGTAATAGTTTTGTTAATGTATTTTTGAAGACAAATTATCAGTTAATATTTGTGTGCTTTTCTAAATGTAAATTGTTTGGAAGGTAACAGAGTCTGAGATTTTCTATCATTTTACTCTAGGCAGCACACTTCTGCTTTTGTTCCTTCATCAGGACGAATTTATTCTTTTGGACTTGGTGGTAATGGGCAGCTAGGAACTGGTTCAACAAGCAACAGGAAAAGTCCTTTCACTGTGAAAGGAAATTGGTTCCCTTATAATGGGCAGTGTCCACCAGATACTGGTAAGTTTTATTATATTAAAGCTTTGCTACACACATTAAAGTTGTTGAAATGTTGCTCTTAAATGATGAAGTTTTCTGTGTTTGAAATGAAATAATTCCAAAATAAGTTGTTTAATGAAAATACCAAGATACAGAATAGTGTATACATTTGCTTAGTTTGTTTATACTTGCTTATTTATGCATAAGGAAACTCATGATAAAGTAGAAAAATGGTTTCAGAGGGCTGAGCGTATGGGAACTGAGTGGTGGCTCGATGCCAGTGGGCAGGAGTATTTTTCTTTTGTGTGAAATACACATAACATAAAATTTATGAACTTAACCATTTAAGGTGTACAATTTGGTAGTGTTGTACATTCCCATTGTTCTTAACCATTTAAGGTGTACAATTCGGTAGTGTTGTACATTCCCATTGTTGCACAACCAGTCTCCAGAACTCTTTTCATCTTACAAAACTAGAACTCTGTATTCATTAAACAGCAACTCTGCATTCACTCCTCCCACGGCTGGCAAACACCATTCTACATTTGGTCTCTATGTATTTGACTTGGCTCTGGGTACTCATGTAAGTGGAATCATACAGTATTTGTCTTTTTGTGACTGACTGACTTCATAAATTTAGCATAATGGCCTTAAGGTTTATCCATGTTGTAGCATGTGTTAGGATTTCCTTCCTTTTTAAGGCTGAATAACATTTTATTGTACATATATACATTTTATCTGCTCACCTGTTGGTGGACACTTGGATTGTTTCCACCTTTTGTGACTGTTGTGAGTCATGTAAACATGGGTGTACAGATATCTCTTGAAGATCCTGCTTTCAGTTTACTTGGGTATATACAGGACTTTAAAATACATGACAGTTTCTTTCTTTTTGAAATTTGAATCAGATGAATATATTACCTATTTAAAGTATTAAATTTTTTAAATTTGCTTTTACATGCCTACTGCTTTAGCCACATCTGTGATTTATTTTTATTTTCTAGTATTTTTTCAGTAGATCTGGTTATTTTTTCATTGGTATTAATTTACTAAAGAGTTTGAAATATTTGAATGCTGTTTTCTCATTTACTTTTTTAACATGCTGCAACTAAAATATGCTTTTTGGGGCGCCTGGGTGACTCAGTCAGTTAAGTGTCTGCCTTGCGGCTCAGATCATGATCCTGGAGTCCCAGGACTGAGCCTTGCATCAGGCTCCCTGCTCAGCAGAGAGCCTGCTTCTCTCTCTGCCCCCACCCCACTCGTGCTCTCTCGCTCTCTTTCAAATAAATAAAATCTTTTTTTAAAAAAAGATAAAATATGCTTTTAAAAATGTTTCCTTTATCATTCTAAACTGTTCCTCAGAATTTTCTTCTTCTTCATTTTACTGTGTCTGATTTCCTTAGGGATTTTTCTTTGAATTGTGAGGACTGGGGTCTGTCAAGATTTTATTCAGTGATGAGCATACTTTGAAGGTTGATATTTGAAAAGGTCCATAACTTTTTATCAATGACCTTGAAGATTTTTTTTATTTTTTTGGTAACGAAAAAGGCTATTCTCAGTTATGCTTTTATTTATCAAAGGTCAGCAGATGATACTATTTTTTCTTGTTTTTGTTTCATTTTGTATTTAGTATATGCCTTTATTTTCTTCCAGTCACTCTTAGGTTTAGAACATGCATTTATTTTAGTAATACTGTTCTTGTGTACTTAGTGGCATGTTGGTATTTTATTATATTAGTTTCTTCCATGAAGAGCACTGTTGATAACAAAGAGATTTTGTAATTTAAAGCAGCACGAATATTGTAAGGAATCATGTATTTCTGTTTGTAAAGTTTAGTCACTTAGGGGTGCATTTTGTTACCCTTGAAACTGTACCTTGAGATCATTTGCTTTCAAATGGGAAAGGAAATGGAATTTTAAAATTAGTTGTTTTGCTACGATTTAGTTTCATCAGAAGTTTGTTGATTCACAGTAGCCAAAAGGTGTGAACAACTCGAGTGTCCCATCAACAGATGAATGGATAAAAAAATGTGATATGTGCGTGTAATTGAAAATTAGCCATAAAAAGGCATAAAATTTTGATACATGGTACAACATGGTTGAACCTTGCAAATATTATGCTAAGTCAAAAGAGCCAGACACAAAAGGACAATATATCATAGGACTGTTCTTATATGAGGTACCTAGAACAGTCAGATGTATAGAGACAGAACGAATAGTGGTTACCAGGGACTTGGGGAAGGGGAGAACAGAGGAGTTGTGTAATGGGTACAGAATTTCTGATTGGATCTTTAGGTCTAAAATGAGTCTGTTAGAGGCGGCATGTAGATGGGTCTTGGTTTTTTATCCATTCTGATACCCTATGTCTTTTGATTAGAGCATTTAGCCCATTTACATTCAGAGTCATCATTGAAAGATACGAATTTAGTGCCATTGTGTTATCTGTAAAGTTGGTGTTTCTGATGATGTTCTCCATTCCTTTCTAGTTTTTGTTGCTTTTGTTTTTTTCCCCAGAGTCTCCCTTACTATTTCTTGCAAGGCTGGTTTAGTGGTCAGTGAACTCCTTTAGTTTTTGTTTGTCTGGGAAGCTCTTCATCTCTCCTCCTATTCTGAATGACAGCCTTGCAGAATAAAGCATTCTTGGCTGCATATTTTTCCTGTTCAGCACTTTAAATATATCCTGTCATTCTCTTCTGGCCTGCCAGGTTACTGTGGACAAATCTGCTGTGATCCTGATCTGTCTCCCCTTGTAGGTTAAGGACTTTTTTTTCCCTTGCTGCTTTCAGGATTCTTTCCTTGTCTGTGTATTTTGTGAATTTGACTGTGATATCTCTGGTGATGGCTGGCTTTGTTGAATTTAATGGGAGTTCTCCATGCTTCTTGGATTTTAATGTCTGTGTCCTTCCCCAGATTACTTAAGGGGAAATGTTCAGCTATAATTTGCTCAAATAAACCTTCTGCCTCTTTTTCTCTCTCTTCATCATTCTGGGACTCATGATATGAATGTTATTAACGTTTTAATAAATCAGAGTTCCCTGAGTCTACCTTTGCGATCCATCATCTTTGTTTCCCTCTTCTTTTCAGCTTTATTATTTTCCATAATTTTGTTTTCAATACCACTGATTCCTCTGCTTCGTCTGTCCTCATTGTTACGGCATCCATTTGGGTTTGCATCTCATTTATAGCATTTTTAATTTCAGCTTGACTAGCTTTTAGCTCTTTTATCTCTGCAGTAAGGGATTCTCTGGTGTCTTCTATGCTTTTTTCAAGTCCAGCTAATATCCTTATAATTGTTTTAAATTCTAGTTCAGACATCTTACTTATATTTGTATTGATTAAATCCCTGGTCATCATTTCTTCCTGTTCTTCCTTTTGGGATGAATAAATAAAAAAAAAAAAGATAAAGCAAAATAAAATAAAAATTTTAAATTTAAAAAATAAAGGAAGATAGGTGTGTTTTGGTCTGCTTGTTAAGAGAAGCTTGATACTAAATTTAAAAAAATATAGAAAATTAAAAAAATAAAAGAATTGCTCTTTCTGTATCCAAAAAAACAAAACCAGTATCACCTCGGGCACCTGGGTGGCAGATGGTTGGGCGTCTGCCTTCGGCTCAGGTCATGATCCCAGGGTCCTGGGATCGAGTCCCGCATCGGGCTCCCTGCTGCTTGGGAGCCTGCTTCTCCCTCTGCCTCTCTCTCTCTGTCTCTCATGAATAAATAAATAAAATCTTAAAACAACAACAACAACAAAAAAACCAATGTCACCTCTACCAAATGCACTCCCAGCAGGGGGAACCGTTTCTCCCTGTGCAACCCAGGAGATCCTCAGACTGCTCTGCCTGCTCCTATGGCCCCGGCTGCTTCCCTCCTGGAGCGCTGCCAGACAACCCTGCCTATGGCACTGACCTCCAAAACTTCAAACTCTGCACTCTGCTGTTTATAAAAAACTGGCAGTGTTGAAACCCTCTCCTTTCTTCTAGTCAGTGGTTTTGGGGAACAGTTTTCTTGTACAGTCCTCTGTGTGTTTTCACTTCTAACCCCCACCCCCACCCCAAACTCTTTCTCCCTCCCCTTGTCTCTCACTACCCACTCCACCACTAGGCCTCCCTCCCCTGTGCAGCGCCAGGGGCCTTTTTCTCCCATGAATCAACTCTCCACAGTTCCTACCTTCCATTGGTCATTTTTTCTGTTTATAGATGTGCAGTAAAATGGGAAATTTTATGTATATTTTACCACAAATTATATATATATATGTGTGTGTCATATATATAATGGTTGATAGTTACTTTGCACTATATTAAGGCTGTGTAGGATAAAAACTAGTTAAATGTGAATTTAAATTTTTTTGAGTTTTATTTATTTCAGAGAGAGAGAAAGTGTGGGGAGGGGCAGAGGGAGTCTTCAGACAGACTCCCTGCTGAGCACGGAGCCTGACACAGGGGTTGATCTCATGACCCATGAGATCATGACATAAGCCGAAACCAAGAGAGTCAGATGTTCAACCAACTGAGCCACCCAGGCGCCCCATTAAATGTGAATTTAATTTGCTCAGTCCCTTCAGAGGTGAAGCCCATGGCCCCCACCATAAATCACATTGTTCTGATGTGGCCTCAAGCTCACAGGTAAACAAAAACATTCTTAACAGGATATTCCAGACTTTGGGATTATGCCCTTGGAGCTTGGCATAGGGCAGACCTTTCTTTAGAATGTATAAAGTTTGGACAACTGTGTTAGTGTTCTAGGGCTGCTGTAACAAAATACCACAAACTGAGTAGCTTGAACAACACAAATTTAT